TTCCCCCCTTTCACTCTCTCTCTCTCTCTTCCCTTCTCTCTCTCTCTCTCTCTCTCTCTCTCTTCCCCCTTCTTTCTCTCTCTCTCTCTCTCTTCCCCTCTTCTCTCTCTCTCTCTCTCTCTTCTTCCCCTTCTCTCTTCTCTCTCTCTCTCTTCCCCTTCCTCTCTCTCTCTCTCTCTTCCCCCTTTTCTCTCTCTCTCTCTCTCTCTTCCCCCTTTCTCTCTCTCTCTCTCTCTCTCTTCTCCCTTCTCTCTCTCTCTCTTCCCTTTCTCTCTCTCTTCTCTCTTCCCCTTCTCTTCTCTCTCTCTCTCTCTTTCCCCCTTCTCTCTCTCTCTCTCTCTTCTCCCCTTTTCCTCTCTCTCTCTCTCTCTCTATCCCCCTTCTCTCTCTCTCTCTCTCTCTCTTCCCCCTTCTCTCTCTCCTCTCTCTTTCCCTTCTCTCTCCTCTTTCCCCCTCTCTCTCCTCTCTCTTCCCCCCTTCTCTCGCCACTCTCTCTCTCTTCCCCCTTCTTTCACACTCTCTCTCTCTTCCCCCCTTCTTCACACTCTCTCTCTCTCTTCCCCTTCTTTCACACTCTCTCTCTCTCTTCCCCCTTCTTCCACTCTCTCTCTCTCTCTTCCCCCTTCTTTCTCTCTCTCTCTCTTCCCCCTTCTTTTCACTCTCTCTCTCTCTCTTCCCCCTTCTTTCACTCTCTCTCTCTCTTCCCCCTTCTTTCACTCTCTCTCTCTCTTCCCCCTCTCTTCACACTCCTCTCTCTCTCTTCCCCCTCTTTCACACTCTCTCTCTCCCCCTTCTTTCACTCTCCCTCCCTTCATTCCTCCCTCTCGCCACCCCTAAAAAATATACCCTACTTGTCAATGGCACTGGACGTCGAGTGGTGCCACGCCTGTGCCTGGAGGAAATGGCACATGGCAAGCGTGTTGGTGAGCATGGAGGAGTAGATGGAGGCGGCCCTAGCATCCAGGCCCTCCATGCACTTGCTCAGCTGCTGGTCGCCCCGGCAAGGGTACACGGGCCAGCCGAACCTCAGCATGTAGCAGTTGGTAAACGACAGGGCGAGTCTGCTCTGGACCTGTAAGGAGGAAGGTTGGAGTTTTTAAAAATTATTCTCTTATTATCATTATTATTATTTCATCATTATTATCATTATTATTATCATATTAGTATTCTTATCATTATATTATCATCATTATTACATTAATATCATTATTTATCATCATCATTATTAATCATCATCATCATCATTATTATTATTATCAATACTATTATTACTATGATCATCGTTATTATCATTAATATTATTTTCATCATCATTGCCATAATGTTATTATCATTATTACTATTATTACTAGTCAAGTTTCGCGTATGTTGGATATGATTTAGTTTAGGGAAGGGGTTATAGATAGGAGGTAGAACTTAGGTGTGGACTATTCAATTTTCTTGAATTTTGTTGGTGGAGATTTAGTTTGGCGAATAATAACTGGTGTGAGATGGAGATTAGGTATTTATAACAAGAGTACGCTATCATGGGATATACAGCTTCGTTATGTGACTGAGCGAGAGAGAAAGGGGTGTTAGTAATCAAAACGTTTTATGTTTTTATTGGTAATAGCAGCATGATGAATGAGAAAAACATGTAAGTAATTAAGAAAAATTAATCTAGAGCTGCTATTAATCATCACCGGCAGTTGTTTATCTCAAACTATCATTTGGGATTATGATATGTTCACTTCACATAACTATGATAACAAAAATGTGACCAGCAGTAATGACGATGACTTCCTATTACAAGAATGAAAACGCTGTCAGATCCAATAATAACGATAATTACAAAAATCTTCCTTATTCGGACACTCACCTCGTCATCAAGATTGCTACAGCCATTGTGCAGATCCTCCAATGCGTTCTGGTAGCAATCGCCATACCTTGAGCAAAACAATTACAATTTAACGGTTGCATTATTAATATTTTTGAGTTTAGGACTTCGGAGAGGAAAATGAAGTGATAATTGCATCCCGTAACACATATAACTAGTGATAAAATGAAGTGATAATTGCATCCGGCAAACATATAACTATAGCAAGGGATAAGGAAATATGAAAATTGACAAAAATACAAAGGGTTCATTATCACAGACAAAGGACGTGAGGAGTGATAGATAAAAATGCGCGTATTTTCCCAACCGAAGATCTGGAATGTTCTAAGTTAAAGAACATCGTCTATATTTGTTCGTGCATGAGATTTGTCTGGGTTTGTCATGCACATGTAAGGCATGCATGATTTTTGTAGGATCTATGTTTTGGGTATTCGCTTATTTATTATTTCGCTTATTTATTATTATTTATTATTTCGTTTCCCTGACAAGAGAGACGGGTAATTTGTACTATTATGAATTTCACGATTTCTCAATATGTTTACAATTGCCAGGTGTTTTTCAAGGTTAAGTGATTATATGCAAAAATAACGATTGTCATGATAGCAATGAATATGGAAATTATCATTGATATATAGTATCTTTACCGAGTGTGGCTTATCTTTTGAATCACGGCAGTTATTTAACGTATTATTATGTGCTAGCAAGAGGTGTTCAGACATATTACCCGGCAAACAAATGGATAACTACAATTCTGGGATTATTTCGATTATTGTTTTTACCTTTATTGCTTCATGAGAGAAAAAAGTGATCTATCAGAGCTTTAAAGAAAAAAAAGTATAGGAAACAGTTCGCGGAAACTGCCACGCGTCCCTCCGAAACAACTCAAACATAACACAATTTCTTTAGTCTCAATTACATCTAACAACAAGACGAGAAAGAAATATCCCCTCACGACTCACTTGGGCATCTTGGCTTCCCTCATGATCACCTCATAGTGCAGTTTCCCCTCACTGGCCGCCTCCTCCAGCGAGTCACCCGCTACCGTCGCCTCCACAAATGTTGCAGCAATGAGTGCAAGCAAGAGCGTTGCAATTTTCTTCCAGGTTGTCATTTCTGTTGACAGCATTTCCGATTCTCAAATTCCATTTTATTGGTCCTCGAAATGTAGTTCTGGTAACCTTTATTTTCTTATTATTTCTTCTGGGTGTTTATTCACAAGCGGGTCGTGAAGATTTGTTTCAAAATGTGGTTTTATCACTACTTGTCCTCGGATGAAATCGACACACAAGACCAGCATTCAAATTCTATTTCCAATATTCAGATATAATGCAATTTTATTAAAACGAGAACCATAAAAATCACAAACACGAAGTTTCACATACACTCTATTTCTATCTCACTCTCCTGTCCCGTAAGTTCAAATTCGTTCCTTATGTAACAGCAAATCCACACTTATGTCACCAACGCACTCTTTTTCCCTCCCTTTTCCACGTGCTCGGAAGGGATCGACCGTTACCCACGCGGACCGAACTGTATCTGAGACAACCACCTCCCAGGACCCAGGTGCAGATTTTGTTTTGAAAATCGCCCGCCGGATTATGGGTACTGAGGTTCTTGCCTGTGACATACCCCCTCCTCCTCCCCCTCCTCCTCTACCCCTACTCCCCTCTCCGCGCTTTTCTTAAAACCTCGTTTGCTTGTCTGTGGGAAAGCTACTGTATTTAACTTTAGTCTGTTCTCCGTGTTTGGCAAAGTGGGTAACCTAGTGCTTAAAATTTTAATTGACGGGGGAATAGTAATTAGGTAATATAAGTAATTCTGGGAATGGAAATAAAACTGTCATTTAGCTTAGGAAATGATTGTTACGTAGCAACTCGTACATGGTAACAATTTAAACCCACGCGGTGATCTGGTCGTCACCCTGTTAGCCTAGTGTTGGGTACGGGTGGTCACTTATTTCTGTTTATTCTCATTCCTAAGGTGTTTTTCGAAGGTTGTGGAAGTTAGTGTCTATTGTAAAACTTTACCGATGTCTCTGTACCTGTATTATCCGCTATCAGTTTCTTTCAAAATCTTTCAAATCTCTCTCTTCTCTCCTTTTCTGTCTCCATCCCTCCCCCTCCTTACACTACCCCCCCCCCTCTCCTCTCTCTCTCTCTCTCTCTCTCTCTCTCTCTCTCTCTCTCTCTCTCTCTCTCTCCTCTCTCTCCTCTCTCTCTCCTCTCTTCTCTCTCTCCCTCCCTCCCTCATTCCTCATTCCCTCATTCCCTCTCCCCCTCCCTCCCTCCCTCCCCCTCTCTTCCCCCTTCCCCCTCTCTCTCCTGGCTCCATGAAATCAAATCATGAGGGCAAGGAACCACCTAGAGACAACTGATATTGATGATTCAGGCTGTACCTTCCCTGTTTTCGTTGGCAAATATAAACAGGTGATAAAATTTTCTAGCGGTGTGCGCGGTGGATTTCAACGTACTGAAACAAAAGCCTTGTAACGGCTGGCGAATTTACGCAGAAGCATCCGGTCTACATCTATATCTATCTATCTATCTATCTATCTATCTATCTATATATATATATTATACATTTATGTATATATTTCATATGTATTTCATATACAGAAATACATATACATGTATGCACACATAGATCTATCAGTATGTATATATGTATGCATACAGACACATATACACATACACACACACACACACACACACACACACACACACATCTCACAACACACACCACACACACACACATATATATATATATATATATATATATATATATTATACATATAAATATAGGTTTCGTGTGTAAATGTATATTTTTGCAAGTACAAGTGAAAATAAAATCGGAAACATGAATAGATGTATAGATATGCAAAACACCCGCAACGAACAGAAAACAATGCCAAACTATCGACCAAAATCTATGCCTTCTATACACATCCCACGTGACCCGTATTTACACGTGACAAAAGGCCCAAAGTCCAATCTCAGTTTCCCCGCGACGTTGCCCGAGGTGTCTGTGACCTGTTGTTGCCATGGTGTGTGTTCCTCGGCCTTTTGTTTTATTGCCTGACAAACATGTGAAGGTTGGTGGGGGGGCTGGTGGTGGTGTTGGTGGTGGTGGAGGGGTGGGGGTGGTGGTGGAGGGGGTGGTGGGGGTGGTGGTGGTGGTGGTGGTGGTGTGGTGGTGGTGTTGGTGGTGTGGTGGTGGTGGTGGTGTTGGTGGTGTGGTGGTGGTGGTGGTGGTGTGGTGGTGGTGTGGTGGTGGTGGAGCTGGTGGTGGGGGTGGTGGTGGTGGAGGGGGGAGGTGGGGGTGGGGGTGGGCGGGGACGGTGGAGCTGAGGGTAAACAAAGTGTCGATCTCTTTGAGAATTATTATTTTACATTTTTTTTCTGCATATACATGTATATATATATACGCATATATGTAACACTTTCTGAAACAAAGTGTTTGAAATACATCGATTAATTGGGCATAGTAGATACAAACTCATATGCCGTTGTCTCTTAGTAAATGGCATAAGCTGTTTCATAAGATGGCGTGGACAAACGTTTTATAAACTGTCGAGAATTCATTATATGTAAGATACCTATTGTAGACGTATGAATAAGAATGGATATCTTCACAATAGCAAAGATAGTCGGGTTCGTTTTCATACTCGTCAAAATACACGTATTTCATCTATTTCTGACGAAAGTATATTCGAAACCGGTTATACACACCTTCAGTGTTGTGAAGATATTCATTACAATTCATACCTTGTCTACATCAGCCACAATGAGTACTTTTCAAGATACTTATAGATCCTTGAATAGAATTAACATTGGTATTGGCCTGGAACATTCTACCCTCTGAGTTACCTCCTCGCAATACTTGGTGCTGAAATGTCTCTGATTTTAGGCTGAGAGAAACGATATGTGTGTAATTAACTTCGAGATTCTATACACCTTGGTTAAGGGCGTGATTTATGTCTTGGTACTGATTTTTTTTTGGTTTAACACAATGACTGAAATACCGGTTTAACTACGTGACTGAAATTTTTGGTTCAACACAGTGACTTTAATGTTGGTTCTACTATGTGACTTTGAAACATTGGTTCAACTATATGAGTATGACTGAAACACTGGTTCAACTATATGACTTTGACTGAAACATTGGTTCAACTATATGGCTATGACTGAAACACTGGTTCAACTATATGACTCTGACTGAAACATTGGTTCAACTATATGACTATGACCGAAACATTGGTTCAACTATATGAGTATGACTGAAACACTGGTTCAACTATATGACTTTGACTGAAACATTGGTTCAACTATATGGCTATGACTGAAACACTGGTTCAACTATATGACTCTGACTGAAACATTGGTTCAACTATATGAGTATGACTGAAACACTGGTTCAACTATATGACTATGACTGAAACATTGGTTCAACTATATGGCTATGACTGAAACATTGGTTCAGCTATATGACTATGACTGAAACATTGGTTCAACTATATGACTATGACTGAAACATTGGTTCAACTATATGACTATGCCTGAAACATTGGTTCAACTATATGACTATGACTGAAAACATTGGTTCAACTATATGACTATAATTGAAACATTGGTTCAACTATATGACTATGACTGAAACATTGGTTCAACTATATGGCTATGACTGAAACATTGGTTCAACTTTATGACTATGACTGAAACATTGGTTTATATGACTGAAACCTTAGTTTATATATTCAACTAAAATATTGGTTTACCTGCATGACGAAATCTTAGGCTGAGGTTACACCAAGCGAGTCGAGACAAGACGAGTCGGTTTGAGGCAAATTATACAGTCCTTTTGTTTTTTTTTCCCGTTAACACTGTGCGAGGCGAGGCGAGTCAAGTCAGTATTCGGCGACCCAATGATTTCATCGATAAAAAAAATAGATTCATTTTCACTCGCTTGAAGTACTTGCATCGTAGTCGTTAAAAAAAACGAACACGAAAACGAAAAGTCGTGAATTAAAAACATCAAGAGGCTAGATTCTCGAAATTTCAAAAATGTATTCCCTGACCTGCTTTTTAAACCACCAGAGAAAAATTCCATATATATTTCTAAGACAAGTGAAAAACTAAAGATAAAGCGTTTGCGTACTTCATAAATTTATTCAACATTAAAAGGATATCAGTTACAATGCAAATGATAATTCCATGGTGCAATTAATTCCATCAAACTCAGGTCTGAACGCAACAAGAAACACGAGGCCTACAACAGAATCTATTGAAGTTCGTGATAAACTGAAAGAACATTTTGTTTCTAAATGAGCTCTGGAATGACAAGATCGAATGATCTAGGAATGATTTTTATAGTTTTGGTAATTGTACAATTACATTGATCAAACCCCTTTTTTTACCATTTTTATTCACTTCAGCAGCAATCTCTTTCTAACAGAGAAGCTATGGCGTCACGATCTCGGTGCGCTATGGTCACTGGGATCTTATATTTCAGGGCGTTTTTGCGCTAAATCAAGAACTCTTGCTGTGACTAAGGCATGTTTAGGTCCAGCTCTATTCCTGCCTCAGCCCTAAAGAAACCGCCTCGCCCGGTGTAAACGCTTTCAGTGGTAAAGGTACGGTTAGACTACCCATAAATTTCAATGGAATCCAGCAAATTTCTGTGACTTGGAGCCAAACAACAGTGGTGTTCACACTGCGAAAAGAACCATCGACTTTGTCCAGTGGAATCGCGGCATGAAAACGTATCGCAGAAACTCGCTTTGGATCCCGCAATCTCCCTAACTCTTGCTATTCTTTCATGTTTTCGGAGTTCTAACCTTTTCCAGGAGGGAGTAAACTGCTTCAGAATTCCACATTTCGAATATTCACGGAATCTGCGCTTTCAATTTGAAGTTATTGGATACGCGTCTATTTATAGTCGTGAATCAAATGAGAACCATGGTCAAAGCTTTTGTTTTTTACTTTTTATTTGTATTTTAGTTTAGGTGGCGAATCATGACGCGTGAGGATTTTCTTTGATTTGCCTCGCCATGGCCCGTTTGGTGTAAACGCACCCTTAGTAAACTTTTGGTTAAGTGCATGAATGAAATGTTGGTTTGACTTTACAACA